TTCCTGATATTTTCCCTGGTTTCTCACAATTTTTCACAATTTTTTCACGTATTTCCCATTTTTTCCTGATTCTTCTCTCTTCCTTTCCCAATTTTTTTCTAGCTTTTTCCCAATTTTTTCTCAAATTTCCCTAATTTTTACCTGATTTTTCCTGGGTTTTTCCCTATTGCTTTCCAGATTTTATTCCTCTTTCTTTTCTGGATTTCCCCCAATTTTTCCAAGTTCTTTCCCAGTTTTTTCCTGATTTCCCCAATATTCTTTCCAATTTTCCCTGGTTTTTCATGATTTTTCCTTCTTTTTATATTTTTTCCTGATTTTTTCCCCAATTTTTTCACATTTTTTCCTTGAGTTTTCTCTTTTTTCCCCCAAATTTTTCCTGCTTTTCCCCAATTTTATGTCAAATTTTCCTGTTTTTCCCAAATTTTTCCCAATTTTTTCCTGATTTTTCCCTGATGTTTTTGAATTTCACCCTGATATTTTTCTGGTTTTTCCCTGAATTTTCCCTTCCATTTTCCTTGAATTTATCCTGGGTTTTTTTTCCATTTTTTCCCCAGTTTTCCAGTTTCCTTCACACTCCCAGTATCATCCCAGTAGCTCCCAGTATCATCCCAGTCACTTACAATCTAATCCCAGTCACTCCCAGTATGAGGCCAGTGGCCCCCAGTTGCTCCCTGTCAGTGCCAGTATGACCCCAGTAGCATCCAGTGTGATCCCTGGGACTCCCTGTCTCTCCCAGTATATCCCAGTCAGCCCCAGCATGCTCCCAGTCATTCCCAGCTCCTCCCAGTTGCTTTCACCATGATCCCAGTTGCTCACAGCCATTCCCAGACAATCCCAGTGTGATTCCAGTCACCCTCAGTGGGATCCCAGTCTCAGCCAGCATGGACCCAGCTGCTCCCACTGTGATCCCACTATGATCCCAGTTGCTGACAGAATAGTTCCAGTTGGTCCCAGTTCCTAACAGTATGATCCCAGTTGTTCCTAGAATAGTCCCAGTCCATCTCAGCATAGTCCCACTCACTCCCAGATGCCCCCAGGGTGGTCCCAGCTCTTCCCAGTGTGGATCCATTCACCCCACTATGATTACAGACCTTCCCAGTATATCCCAGTTGCCCCTGTTAGGTTTTAGTTACCTCAGAATGATCCCAGTCTTTCCCAGTGGCTTCCAGTTTCTCCCACTATGATCCCAGTTGTGGTCTCAGTCCCCTCAGCATGGTGCCAGTACCTCCCAGTTGCTCCCAATGTGTCCACATTTTCCTCCCAGCATGGGCCCAATAGCTCCCAGTAACCCCCAGTCAGGTACCATTTGCTCCCACTGTAATCCCAGTGGTTCCCAGTACTATCCCTGTAGGAGCCATAGTCACTCCCAGTATGGTTGCAGTCACTTCCAGGATGATCCCAGTCACTCCCACTACAATCTCAGTCACTCCCAGTATGGGCTGTTGTACCAGTCACCCCCAGTATGGTTCCAGTCCCTCCCAGATACTCCCAGTGTGATTCCAGTCATTGCCAGAGTGACTCCCTGTCACTCCCAGGGTTGTCCCAGTTGCTCCCAGTCACCTCCAGCACGTTTCCAGTCCCAGTCAGCACCTTTGCAGTCACTCCCAGTATGATCCCAGCTAGTTCTACTAGGATCCCAGTATGACCCCAGCATGGGCACAGCTGCTCCCAGGATTATCCAGTGTGGTTCCAGTTGCTCCCATTTACCTGCACTGTGGTTTCAGTCTCTCCCAGTCTATCCCAGTTGCTCCTAGTCACTCCTCAGGTGCTTCCAGCCTGATCCCAGTTGCTCCCAGCCACTCCCAGTCACCCTGAGTGCAGTCCCAGTTGTTGCCAGTATGGTCCCAGTCTTGCCCAGCATGGCCCAGCTGCTCTCACTGTGATCCCAGTAGGATCCCAGTTGCCCTTAGCATGGTTCCAGTTGCTCCCTGTTCCTCCCAGTCTGATTCCTGTTACACCCAGTTGCTCCCAGTATAGTCGCAGTCCCTCTCTGGATGATCCCAGCCCCTCCCAGCATGGTCCCAGTTGCCCCCAGTGTAGGTCCAGTCACTCCCACTCGCTCCCAGTTGTCCCCAGCACAGTTCCTGTTGTTCCCAGCTTGATTTCAATTTCCCCAGTATGGTCACAGTCATTCCCAGTATATCCCAAATGCCCTCAGCATGCTTGTGCTCATTCCCAGTCATTCCCAGTTGCCCCAGTAAGGTTCCAGTTACCCCAGTACAAACCAGTCCCTGCCAGTGCTGCCACTCCTGGGATCCCCAGCCCTCTCTGTGTTCCCCCCTCCCGCATCTCCCCAGAGGAGCCCCAAGGGCTGGCAGTCCCCAGACAGGGTCCCCAGCCAGCCCCAGGTTGGATCTGCAGCCCCCAATTTTCCCAGTTTCCCTCTCCTTTTCCCCAGGCTGGGTTCCCCCCGTCCCCAGTGGGTGGGAGCAGCTGAGAGCCCCGCGCTGCCCATCTTGACCTGTCCCGGCTCCATTCCCGCTCCTGCCGTGGGCTGTGAGGGGTTCAGGAACGGGGCACCGAGGGTGTCACTGCTCCTGCGGGAGGAGGAGGAGGGATGGAAGATCAGGGATGAAGGAGAGAGAGAAAGGATGGAAGTAGGAAAAGGAGGTGGGGTTAGGGAGGAGGAGGAAGGATGGAAGGGGAGGAGAGGGAGGAAGAGGAGGGACAAAGGAGTATCAGGGAAAGGAGAAGGAGCCACGAGGTCAAGCGCTCCCTGAATTCACAGCCCCTTGTCACCCTGAAAACTCAGCTTCTGAGCTTGCTGACATGGTTTTCTAAGGACTTTCCCAGGACAGTAACTGCAAACATAGATATGTGTACATTCTTTCTGTTACACATCTTGTGATAGGCATCTCTCATGGCCAGTGCAGTGAGAAAGTGTTATCCTGACCATCCAATCCCTGGCTGTGGTCAAAAACCTGTAAATCCTGGGAGGAAAATAAACTCTGCTCTTCTTTTCACCACACCTCGACCTGTGTCCGTGTGATCTATTCATCTTCAGCGGTAACAGCCCCTCACCCATAGGATCATCATCCCCCATCCCACAGGTGCCCCGGGACAGGGAGCTCAGCCCAGATATCCTGGGGGATCCCTGGGTTGGATTTTGGGGGGGGATATTTAAGAATTAAGGACTGCAAACCTGAGCAGAAAATGCCCCTTTTGGAGACACTGGGGTTCCCAGCATCTGTTAGTGAGAAGATGGAAAAAGGGGGAACTTTTTAGATTCTTTGCACTCCCAGGAGCCTTGGGAGGGCAGGGATCGAGCAAACTGGGAATCCCCTGTACAAGTGTGACCCCCAGCAGCTGGGACAGCGGGGAACCCCTGAACACCAAACAGGAGAGACCAGAGATGGGGAACTCCTGGGAGGCATTTTCAGGGCTAAATCTTGGTGTTTGGGAGGTTTTTATGGAAGGCTTGTAATTTTTAGAGATGGACTTGGGCAGGAGGAACCCCCTATTCCAATGTGCTCATGAATTGTATTTTTTCCCCAACCAGGATTTTTCATTCCCAGACCATTGGCCCAATGGAGGAAGAGGCTGTCAGGAAGAGGAAGATGCCCCAGGACACCCAGACAGGTGAGGAGGAAGTCAGTGCCCCTTTCCCCCTCTCTCCTGCTCCATCTCCCAGCCCAGCATGGCCCCCGGCTGCAGGACAACCCCGCTGCCGACGCC